CCACGCAAAGAATTGTGCCGCCCACCATATTGTGGAGGGAGAAGCAGCTCCTCCTCCAGCTTCCACCGGGCAGCCTGCCTACACCTCGGGCTCAACCCCGTGAGACCCTTTTCAGACCCTGACCTCCAGCGCTGCAGAACACACCTGTGCTGCTGCCAGCTCCAAATCTGTGGCCCATGTGTGACAGCCGCAAACAGAAACGCACGCCAGCAGAGAGAGGGTTTGTTTGTGTCCTTAAGCATCCCTCTGGTGGGCAAGGTCTACGGGTCGCGCAGAGACCAAGCTTCTGTCTGGAGCTCTGCCATTTCCACGGCATGGGAAAGGCTGCCCACTGGTGCCCTTGCACCAGCCCCCCCAAGCAAGAGTAAGAGGAGGGGTCACCTGAGCTGGCACTGACCACTTCTGCTCACGTTCGGTGGCCACACTTAATGGCAGAGGGGCCGGGAAACGTAGGCGTCCAGCTAAAGCAGGAGAGTTGGGCCAGCTGGTAGCGTGGTGGCGAAGGCAGCTGGATCCCTTATGGCCGACTGCACGGTTCGAGTCTTGGACCCAGTGGCTTAAAATCACATGGCATGCCCCTGAGAAGAGACTGCAGTGTGGCCACCCCCCAAGGGAGGGGGCCATTTCCCACTTACCCTCTTTCTCTTGTGCATTCTCATTCTCTGTCTCTGTCTCTCTCTCTAAAGTACATGTGCCCTACAGGAAAAAAAAAAAAAAAAAGGCAAGCAAATACAAAACCCAGGAGAGTCTAGTACTGAAAAGCAGAACAGGGCAGTGATTAGGGGACAGTTAACCATTTCTTAGGGGCTTCATCCCTAAGAGCGTGCGGCTTCGAATCCTGGTTCAGGCGTGTGACTGCACCTCCCTGGCTTCTTTCTTCTGTAAAACGGGTGCAGGGGCCCCCACGTGTGCAGGGCAGAGGGCGAGCAGCAGCTGCCATGCGAGCATCCGGCAGGGCCTGGGACACAGTGCCTTCAGGGCCACGTTCCCCTCCCGCCCTAGGGAAGCCGAGGTACCTGCACATGGGGGAGGAGGTGGACGGCGTGGACATGCGGGCCGAGGTCGGGCTCCTGAGCCGCAACGTCGTGGTGATGGGGGAGATGGAGGACCGCTGCTACCCCTACACCAATCACGTCTGCAGCTTCTTTGACTTCGACACCTTCGGGGGCCACATCAAGGTAGGGGGCTGCGGGGCGAGCAGGGGATTCCCACCCTGCCAGCTCTGGGGGGACTCTCGGTAGGAGCCGTCTGGGGGATGGCTCTCGCTCTGGGCCAAGGGGTGCCCGTCTCACTGGGCTCCCCACTTCCCCACTGCCTTCGTTATTTCACCCTGGTCACTTCCTGAAACAAACGACAACGCCCGATGGGTAACGGGAGGGCCCGGGATGCCGTGGCACCGAACGTGGCCGTGGGTCCCTTGGTAGAGCGAAGGCAGAGATGAGACGCCCGGCGAGCAGGAAGAGGGGGCGAGGTCTCCGGAGCCCACGGTTTCCCGGCAGTAAGCCCCAAGAGGAATTGCTTTTGCATCTCTACTCATAGTGTATTGGACAGTTTCAGGAGGTGCCGCAACCCCCTTCCCCCCCAAGGGTGAGCCCTGAGGGATCAGAGTGCTCTTTCCCACTGAACCCAAACCGGGCCTCGGAATCCTTGTCAACACAGCTGTCCAGAGCAGTCTTCGCCAGAGCTGGCGTTCCCGCCGACACCCGCGTGGGGCAGGACCGGTGCCCGTGTCCAGATCGTCCTTCTCTATAGTCAGCTGAGCCTGACCCTTGACAGGAACCCTATTCAGGCTGATTTCCTAGTGAGCTCCGGAGTGCAGGCCTTCGGGAGGGACAGGTGGGCCCCTGAGCACGTTAGGGGTGACTCCGATGGCACTGAGAAGTGCGTGTGTGGAGCGCCATGCCGCTCACCCCTGCAACAGCTCGTGGAGATCCCAGGGTCGGCTCCCCTTTCCTTCCAGCAGCAGGTGGCCTCAGACGGTGGACAGTGGCACAGGTTCTTGAACCCCCCCGTCCACCCTGACCTTGATGCTCCAACCTCCTAGGCCCTTTGTCTGCTCCTGTTCGTCATCCCAGGGTTCTCGCTTCCTCGGGACACTCAGTGGCCTAGGATGCAAGAAAGGAGGGTCAGGGCACGCTCGCTGTCATGCAGCCCCTGGACAGCTCAGATCGGAGCTGTCCGAGGCCCTCAGCACCATCTTCAGTAGCTCCCAGCTGGCCTGCCCCGGTGTAAGAGGCAGAGGGTGCCTGGCTTGGCGAGTACCCAGGGGTAGGGAAGCACTCGGAGGCCGAGCCCTCTGCATTTCTGGAATGTGGGCACCTGCCAGGGGACCAGAAAGCCCCTCCCGGGCCCCTCTGACTCTGGGCTCTCCTCTCCCAGTTTGCACTGGGGTTTCAGGCAGCACACCTGGAGGGCGTGGAGCTGAAGCACATGGGGCAGCAGCTGGTGGGTCAGTACCCGCTCCACTTCCACCTGGCCGGCGACGTGGACGAGAAGGGAGGCTACGACCCGCCCACCTACGTCAGGGATATGTCCATCCACCACACGTTCTCTCGCTGCGTCACGGTGCACGGCTCCAATGGGCTGCTGGTAAGTCCTCGCTCCCTGGGAGAGCGGACGGGCAGGCCGGGATGCCACTGCTGGAAAGAAATCCGGGTGGAGATGCCTGGTCTGGGGGCTTGGGGTCGAGCTGTCCTGAGTGGAGATTTTAGGGAGATCTCGACTGAAAGCAGGATACCCACAGGTGTGTGGTGTCAGCAAAGACCACCAGGTACAAAGGTGGGGAGGCTGTTCGTGTAAGCTGTTCGTGTACGGTGGTCGTTTCTTGACGTCCAGTTCCTTCCATGTTGTTGGGATCGTTTTGTGGGCATCCAGTGTGACAGAAGTGCAGCCTGCAGATATGGGAATCATGCCAAGGCTCCGGGCTGTGCTCCTGCCCACAGATCTGAGCCAGTGGTCGCAGTGGGGCCTTTCCACACTGCCACGTCCCTTCAGAGCAAGCCCCGCTGGGAGGCCCACCTTCATTAGCACGGCGGAGGAGCTGTCAAAGGCTCGTCTTCATTTTCACAGATCATTTCTACACTAAATTGCCCCTTCTTTAAATGAACTACATTTCATCGTCTGTAAATAGAAGGCCGAACTTCATAAAACGGCACCCCCCACGCTGAGCCCAGCAGCCAGATGTGTTTCGTTTGGCTCGTGCCATGTTTCGAGAAACTTTTGATAGTTTATACTCAAAGTTGATAATTTTACACTAAATTGAACCTCCTTTAAATGAACTCGACTCCCACCCTCCATAAACTTTCAACCCGGATGTCACAAATGGCACCCTGCTAGTTCAATCCAGCAACCCGGGGTGTTTTGTTTGGCTTCCATGTTTAAAGAAACATCGGGATCTGTTTCCATCTTTTAAAAATGGCGCGATTCGGGGCCGGCTTGCTGGCAGAGCAGTGATAGACTCTCGGCGACGCTGGGTCCATGTGGGAGGAGGCTCGTGTGTTTCCCAGGGTGGCCTGTACATGCCAGCCCCTGCGCCCTGACCCCGGCTGGCTGGGACCCTGTTAAGGCTACTTGTCATCCTTGCTTTCTGTCTCTCGCTCTCATGAAGAAGTAAATACAACGAGAGAGAGACCACGTAAAAATCTGAATTCCTGGCTTCTCTTGAAAAGTAGGATGGAGCCAACCAGCCCATGGTGTGGTGGTTGGGGCAGAGGATCCCAGACGGCTGACTGGGCAGTTCGAATCCCAGACCTGGTGACTTGAAAAAGATGCTGGGTATTTGTGTGTTCCTGCCCCCAATCCTGAGAGGATGGGGAAGTGGAGGAGAGGAGATTACAGGGTGACCACTCCCCACGAGGGGTGCTTTTTCAATCCCCCTCATCTCCATATCTCTCTCTGGCAAAAACGGAAAGGAAGGAAGGAAAGGAAAGAAAGTCGGCTGCGTCGGCCGCCCCAGCCCCACCTCCTGCGTGCAGCCACGGTTCCCCAGCCCCACCTCCTGCGTGCCGCCACGGCTCCC